ATTTAGTCTCGAGCAGAAGGACACTTTGAAGTTGTCCCGATTCAACGAATCGAACTTTCTTGTACCGAGTGAATCGGTTCTTTCCGACCGATACCAACGACTGAGAAAAACTCGCTTTCCTTCTTTTTGCTACCACACGAGGCGGCCTCGACGACGGTTCTGTAGACAACCTATTCACTGCTACTGCTACTGTTGGTGTTTTTCTTTTTCTTCTTGCCGTTGCTGTTGCTGTTGCTGTTGCTGTTGCTGTTGACGCTGTGCTCGTGTCGTGTCAACCCTTTCACGACGGGGAAGATGCACATTTTTTTTGGCTGATTCTTTCACACGCCGAATGGTGGTGAAAGCTGCACCGACCGGCTTTGTGAATGTACCCATTTTGAGACCAACTGGCCTACCGACCGAGTGATCGTCGGATTCAGACATGTCTTCCACACGTCTTCGGCTCAACCGTCGCGAGGGTGTGCGAACAGCCACTTGTGCCTGTGCCTCTTCCCCGCTCCCTCTTTTCACATGTTTGCATGTGCATGTGTGTATGCGTGTGTGTGTGTGTGTGTGTGTGTATGCGTATGTGTCGCCATGTGAACAGAAGTTCGAGGTTTCGTGTGCAGGAGCATGCATTGTGTCGTCCTGCCAATGACTGTTTGGCCAAAATGCTATCTGTGTGTTTGTGTGTGTGTGTGTGTGTGTATGCATGTGTGTTTATTTGTGGCTTGGTGGAGCCGGGTGGGTGAATCTGTGAAGAAGCCTATTTCTGCAGTTGGTGCCTTGAAGAAAGCAATTGAGTCGACTTTTGCCAGACATCCCTTGACTACCCGCCAAATTGGCTACCGTCTTTGTGAGTGTGTGTGTGTGTAGTGTTGCGTCGTCAAGACGACCGCCTGCGGCTTAGTTCTCACTGTTTAGCTGACTCAGTGTGTCCCATTTTCGACTTACAAATGCACTCAACAGCTTTGCGAGGGTTAGCAGAGAAACCAAAACTGCCGTCCCGGTTGCAGACCCTTAACTCGAGCAGTCTCAAATAATTGTTCAGCAAAAACTTCGCCTTAACCCGCCGGGCGATAACATTAATTGGCATAACTTGCTTGTTGTCATGACAACAATCTACAAACAGGAAGAAAAGTTCAACAATTCTGTGAGTGTGTCGGTTTAACGGAAAGTTGGTAGGAGGGGATTTTTCCAACTCAGCCAAATCGCCACCACGACGAGTAGATTGAACCACTTTGAGCCGAATTTTGTTGCCATGACCTGTTCTTTTGTAGATACTGTGCATTTTCCAGCGTAAACTCATCAAAATCAAGCCCTACCAGAAAGGCTAGGGGTCACCTTGACGACATGACAAATGATATAAATCTGATGAAACTAATGTTACACAGGCCAAACAAACTTGTCGGCATTTCTGTAAATAAATAAAGGAACTTTGTCAAAATGGTTTCCTGCCCGCTACGCCAACGAGGTTCACACTTTCAACATTCTCTTTCGGATAGCGTTTTGCACATGAAAGTGTTGTGTGGTCGTGAAATGATGTGCCGTAGCTCGGGTTATCCAAGGCTTATTCTGCCACATCTACAGCAAAAGTAAACAATAAAAAATAGACCTCGTTTTACGTGAAATCTCGAGGCAAACATGCAGCTCTAGACGACCTTTTGCACCTTCAAAAACGCACGTGTGTTGCCAGTTCTGTCACAATTCTAGCACCGTCGCCATCTTCTTCGCCCTAGCCCTCGCCCTCGCCGTCGTTATGAATCTTCTTTT